CCGCTACCGGTTCCCACCGGAGCCCTGCTCCACTCCCTCGATTCCGGTCTTGCGGAGCTAACACCACCCGACCTACCGCCCCCACCACCCCCACCGCCCCCACCGCCTCTTCCACCGCCCCTGCCACCGCCGTTGCGCTGGGGAGGACCCTTCCCATCAGGAGGTGCGACGCGCAGGCCAGCGACGCCCTGTGAGAGGTAGGGGAGGTAGGGGTAGAAAGGATAGTAGAGGTCATGGAGGCAGGGGAAGTAGAGGGGGTAGAGGAGGTAGGGGTGGAAGGGAAAGTAACGCAGGTAGGAAAGGTAGGGAAATTAGGGGATTAAAAATTGGCAGGAAATTAGCAGATGAATAAGGACAGCGAACTAACAAATAAAGGAAACCAGCGAATACTCACCTTAAGTCCCATTTTACTGATAGTCGACTTCTGCAACTCTGGTATCTGCGCGAACCCCAAAGACGCCGCGTACTCCGCAGACGTCTCCACCATCTGCTCCCTGGTCATGTCGAGCTTCTTGCACATAGAGGAGTAGTGCCCCAGCCAGGCAGCCCACGCCATCTCCGCGGTGTCCTTGTCGGAATCCTGGCCCTGCTTGATGATCTTCGCCACGGCTTTGCCCACGCGGTCGGTCTAGGGGTGGAAGAGAGAAATGGAGGAAGAGAAGAAGAGGGGAAGAGGGGAATAGAGGGGAATAGAGGGGAATAGAGAATTAATGGCACATTTAATATCGGCGGTGCCAATGCATAAGCATGTAAACACACACATACAAATAATGGGTGTATAATTGTATAATTGTCCACTGCGACTTCATGTGGTGAGGGTCAGAGCCTCAGTGTCGTAAAGACTTGCAAGAACTCTGGCCCGCACCGCAGTGGTTGCGCCCAAAAAACAGGGTGATTTAGGCAGTACTTTAGCACATCATGCAGCATGGGGGTGGTTGCTGCTGATGCGACTCTAAGAAGCACGCCATGTGTATATACTGACACACATACATAGATACACAGATACACTGATGTAATTAGCAGTGCGGCAGGCGACAGGCGACAGACGACAGGGGACAGGGAACAGGGAACAAAGTACGACGGTGCCTTACCAGCGGCGTCGGCTCTGCGGACAGCAGGTTGGTCTTGGTCTGCAGTGGCAGATCCTTGAGTTCATCTCTGGTCATAAACTTATTCTCAAAGGGGGCCAGCATCAGCAGCCCTGCGCCGGACTTGCCCGCTCTGGCTGTGCGGCCCAGCCTGTGGATGTACTGGTCCCTGGTGGTGGTCCCCACCTGCAGCACGAAGGACACGTCGGGGTAGTCCATGCCTCTGGCCGACACGTCAGATGAGGCCATGATCATGTTCTTGCCAGTTCTGCGTGGGGGGAGCGGAGGAGGGGAGGTGTGAGCATTTGGACAAAAGGCACTGTGGGTATCGAGGTGGTGTGTGTGTTCGCATGGGTGTGTGTATGGGCATGCGTGCACTGTGCGTGTGCGTGCGTTTATGTGTATGCGCATATATCTGTGTGAGAGCATGGTAGAGCATAGTATGTGCGCCTCACCTGAACTCCTCCGACACTCTCGTGCGGTGCCCCTGCGACTTCCTTGAGTGGATCTCCAGCACATTCAGGCCAAGGGCGTTCAGTACCTCGGCGCAGTACCCAGTCTGCCTAGCAGTGGCGAAGAAGAGAATAATCTTGAACCCCTTGTCGCCCTGCTCCACCACGTGCTGCTCGATCAGCTGCACGAGCGCCTCCACCTGCTGCTTCAGGGGCACCGTGGTGACGTACTGCGGCACGTGCGAGTGGGTCTGCTCCACCTCCTCGCCCACTGTGTCGATCATCTTATAGCCAGGCAGCAGGCTGGTCTTCGCGATCTGGCGGATCTCCGGCGCGACGGTTGCGGAGAAGAGCAGTGTCTGGCGCTGTCCGTAGGTCACCGTGTCTCTCTTGTCCATGTACTTCACGATCTTGTCCATGTCGTTCTTGAAGCCCATGTCCAGCAGGCGGTCCGCCTCGTCCATCACGAACACCTTCACGCCCCTGCAGGCGTCCGCGAAACCCGCCGTCTCTTGCAGGTGGCCCAGCATGCGCCCAGGCGTGGCCACGATGATGTCGTTCTGCCCCGCGCCGGTGCGCAGCAGCGCCCGCTGGTCGGAGGCCATGTTGGTGCCGCCCACCAGCAGCAGCACGCCGATCTTGTGGTGCGTGCACAGCGTGCGCGCCTCGGCGGCGATCTGCTGCGCCAGCTCTCTCGTGGGGGAGAGGATCAGCACGCGCGGCTCGGGCGCCGCCTGGCCGCGGGGTCCGTCGTTGCGGTCCATGGCGCGCTGCGTCTTCATCACGCGGTTGCGCTCCTTGATGAGCACCTCGATGGCAGGGACCAGGAAGGCCAGTGTCTTCCCCGTCCCCGTGCGTGCCTTGACCAGCACATCGTGCCCCTGCAGGACCTCCGGCAGACTCTGGTGCTGCACCTCCGTCATGCAGGCGTAGCCCATGACCTCCGTGATGGCTCTCTTGGTGTTCTCGGAGATGGGCAGCTCGTCGAAGCGGTGCGTCGTGAAGTGCTTCAAGCTCGAAGCAACTTCAGGGACAGCGCCAGAGTCCGCACTATCAAGGGCGGAAGGCGCGATAACCTCCGCAGTGAGCACTTCCTGCAGCGATGCATCTGCAGCATTCTCCTTGGGCTGGCGCGGCCGCAGGGTTCTGAGCAAGCGCTTGGGCCGGGCTGCATCTGGCTCCTCGCGAGAAGCGGCGAGCGGTGGCACCGTGCCACCCCACACACTGCGCGCGAAGGTGCAGGCGAAGCCGCCGGGCCTGCTAAGCGCCGCAGGGCGATGGCTCTGCAAAAGCGCAGAAACTGGTCTGCGGAACAGTAGAACGGCGGCCATGCAAACAAAGTGAGCCGCGCGGAAACGTAGCATGGATGGGTCGATGTGGGGGGAGGCCGGGGGTGGGGGGGGGGGGGGGGGTCCAAGCAGAATAGAACAGAACTGTCGAAGGTTATGTTTGGACGTGTGTCCGGAACCCTGGTCTTGGCGGAGATTGGATGGAAGAGACGCAACCCGTCCTTTCGGCCTCCCCCTTACCATCCATTATATACTTTCGCTTTTGATGATATTCACCACTCACCCCGAATAGCTCAGTTGGTAGAGCGCTTGACTGTAGAAGTATAACATTTATCGAGCGGTCACTGGTTCGACTCCGGTTTCGGGGACTTGTCTTTTTATACTTTTTATGCATAATTTTTATGGG